TATTAAAAATTTCTGATTTTCCAAAATTTTGGATGATGTCTTCAGATTTTGCCAAGTTTATGGCATAAATGTGTATACTGACAAGTGATTATGGCAAAATTGCATTTGTATAAAACGATTTTTCTAATATTTTTTCATTAGCTTGGTTTTCTAATACTGATTGTGTTAATCTTTTTGCCAATTTTTTGACATTTCTGCATATTCCATTAATTTTTTTATTTTTCCAAATTTTGGATATTGAATTCATATTTTTGCCAAATATATGGCAACTTTGTGTTAATCTTTCAGCATAAATCTGCCATCTTTATGGCATATCTGAAAATCTGCCAACTTAATGGTGGTGGTGGCGAATGATGGTGGCAGGCGGCGGCAGGCGGTGCCGGCAAGGGCGGCGGCATGCGGTGTCGGTGAAGGTGGCGCCAGGTGATGCTAGCGAGGGCAGCGGCAGGAGGCGCCAGGTGGCGCTGATGAGGGAGGTGGTGGCGAGGGTGGCTCCTGTGTTACGGTTGAAATTCAGGGTTTCAACATTTTAATTTTACTTTTTTAATTATTAATTCAAAAGAAATTGATTAGGGGCATATTTGTACAAAAAAGGTGGTTTTAAGTCCTACGAATTATTGGTTTTTTTTTCAAGTCTTATTTGTGCACATTCAATTGGTATCAGTCCTATATAGGTCATTAACTCTTTTTCCTTGTGTAAGGGGTACTTTAAGCCCAATGGCATATTATGATACTCCTTCCGTTTTCCTAACCTTGTCTCGTTTTATTCTTTTCATCTATTTCATTAAATTTGTCTCATATCACATTTGGTAATATTTGAGTAATTACAATTCATTATTACGTTATTTACACTTTATCAATTCAATACCAATCACACAATTCTATTTTTTTCTTAAATACCGCACCACACTTCTTTGTCCCAATCTTAGGGGGGTGAAGGTAGTAAAATATTATTTTCGTCCTTTAAAACTTTATCATCTTTCCTTTTTCAGTTATCTCAAATAGTTTTACATTTTTCCTTTTAATCAATCAATTTGTGCTTTCTTAATATTTCTCTGAGTAAAGGGAGATTGGTACTCGACATTGCATAAAAAGGGTCAAATAAGTCCTTACTGTCCGCCCGTCGCCATTTGCGGTGGTTCCCAGTGGAATTTTTTGATGAATTTTATTTAGCATCTTATACATTAAGCCTAGTTTATTCCTACCAAATTTCAGCTAAAACTTCAATCAGGAAGGCATTCAAATGAAGACTTTAATATAACTGCGCAGTTAGGATGTTTTTACTTGGAATGTAATTTGTCCCAGACCAGATCAGACCAAATCAGACCAGACCAGACCAGACTTGGGTAGTTATAAAAATACAAAGAAACCAGACCAGTCCAGATCAGACAAGACAAGACAGACCAGACCAGCTAATGACAGTCCAAGTAAAAACATCCTTAAAAGTGCGGTTATCTTCAAGAATTCATTTGAATGCCTTCCCGATTGAAGTTTTAGCTGAAATTTGGTATGAGTAAACTAGACTTAATGAATAAGATGCTCAAAAAATTTCATCAAAAAGTTCCACTGGGAACCGCCCCAAATGGTGACGGCCGGACAGAGCCTCCTATATAAGGACTTATTTGACCCTTTTTATGCAACTTCGAGGACCAATCTGACCCTTTACTCATATTTCTCTCTCATCTGCAAAAACCTCAATTATACAGTTTTACTTTATTATTTTTCGTGTCGGTCAACTAAAAAAAATTTAAGAGATGAAGGCAATAGGTAAATGAACTTGGCAAGAGTACCGGTCCCAGCTGGCGGTTTGGGTCGGGCCAGCACAGTGTCGGGCCGGGCTGGGACGACCCGTCCCGATCCATCCCTACATTTACCCTATCCTCTTATGTGGCTTTCGGGGACAAAAAAAATAGTAATTCGCGAGATTTTGATCTTTTGACAAATTTTGCAAGAGCAGTTTTGTTCATCCCCACCCTATTTCAGTTGTCACGTGGCAAAAAATATTTCTTAATTTTGCAATTATTATAACTTTTTTATTTTTCGTTCAATTTATTTAAAAAATATATCAATGTTTTTATTATTATCACCTGTTTTTATGATCTTTCATATGATATCAATATTGCATATTTAAAATAGCTAAAAATAGATATTAAGAGAAAATAGATTTTTTTTCAAACTTATATGAAATATTGGTACCATTAGAATGATAATAAAAAAAACTATCTAATTTTATATTCTTTTTTATATTTCTTTTATTTATTTTTTTTCATCCAGAGGGGTCTGGGGAAGGGGGGCTGGGGGAGCCTGGCGTAATCATGGCTGAAACTCAATCCGTTGAGTTTCCAACCCTTGTGTGCCTAGCGGGATTCAAACTCGAGACCTCCCACTAGGTACGGTAACCTCACAACCAGCTGAGCTGGAATGTTTGGTTATATTTTTCTATAAAAATTGGATCACAAATATAAATATTATACTCCCTCCTTCCCCCAAAATTGTTCTCGTTTTCCTTTTTGTGTCGTCCCAAAAAATTGTTCTCATTTTCCTTTTTGAAAAGTTTTGTGTGGCTAGCTTCATTTACTTTTTTGTTTTTTTTTTTAAATTTTTTGGAAGAAATTGGCTTAAATTGATAACACATTATTTACATTGTAGGTAATCCGACAAAACGACTCTTGACAACCGTCGTACCTCGAACCAGACTCAAAGTTTATCAGCGTAGCAATATAACTCGTTGATCCATTAGTGAACACAAATGAGCCAAAGATGGTTACCGTAATCATTCCACCACCCACATCCAAATTCAGTCTTACAGCAGAAAAAGATAAAGAAATTATGATCAAAGAAATTAAAAGGCAAAAAAAACAATAAAATAAAACTAATAGACTAGGGTTATTTATGTAACTTTGACATTACTCTTTTATTATAAATATACCTGTCAGGGCTCCATAGAGGATAACCTGTTCCATTCTCTCACATGGTATCAGAGCTGCGGTTCACACCTAAACCCTATTTTTTTTCCCGCCTCCTTCCTTCCTCGGGATCGTTGCCATGAGTTCTGCAGCCGCCTCAGTCTCCACCACCGTGGAGTCTTCTTCTTCGGTGAGCGCGGGAATCAGCGTTCCGTTGTCTTCTTCAATGACTGGCGCACCCCCATCCTCAGGTCAGAAGTCCTCGGTCGTTTTGCCTGGCACAGCCTCCTTCATGGCCTCGACGTTTGCTTCACCGTCCAGGAGTTCTCCGGCAAATTACTCCCTATTTAATAATCTTCCTCCAGTGTTTCAATGGTTTGCCCTGCTCCTGTTCAGACCGTGACTTTGGACCCATCGCCTATCTTCTCTTCTCCTGCAGCGATCCAGTTCGCAGGTCCCACCTTGGTTGGCTCTCTTGGTGTTTGTTCTTCGGTTCCATCCACACGTCCTGGTCCAGCAACTACACCGACCTCCCCTATGGCTGACTTGGCTCAATCTCTGTCTCATGTAGCAAATTCTCTCACAAAAACGCCCGCTCCTTCTTCCAGAGCACCACTTCCGACCACGTTCTGGAACATCCTATCTGTTTCTGATACTCCGGCGGCGGTTCAGGGGGAGGATGAGCTTGCAGTACTATAGCTTCTTCCTCACTCTACCTCTTATTCATCATGTTCTCTGTCAAACCTCCACCTTCGCCACCAATCACAGATGACCTTGAATACCGATCTGTCCCAGCTTTTAACCCCAAGCTTCGTCCATGACCTTTACTCGATGATGTCATCCTTTCGCTATTGCTGACTTTGTTCCTTGTCCGCGCCACAAAAACTTGTCGCATGAGAAAATCCTGAATCGAAAAACCGCCCAATCTATTAGATTGGCGGAAGAACTAAAACCCTAATTAGAGGGACAATGACCGTTGTTACCTTAATTATGAAGTCGAACAAAGGGAAGAAAACGAGCAAGACAAACGAGCATCAGTCGGCAATCATCCACCCAAGCAGCGTGACGGCCAGGGCTTCCATGCATTTTATTTCTACTATATCATACCTTTTCATACATTTTCACTTTATTTCTCATTTTATTCCATACATTTTCATACGTTTTCTATTATCATACATTTTCACTTTATTTCTACTCAATGTTCTAAAAGGCGCTAGGCGCTAGTCGGGCGCCGGCACAGCGCCTAGGCGGCTAGGCAGACGCCTAGGCGGGGATTAATCGGAGACATAGACATTATAATTTTATTAATATTTTTGCATAAATATGATTAGTAATGTTATGTTTATATGTATATAAAATATAAACACACACACACTAACATGCATGAATGATAAGAGTTTCACATTTAACAACATATTATAATTATACATACTTCTTAACTTCAAGTAATACGATGTAATTTATTAATAAATAATAATAATAACACTTAAGAATATATACATATATATATATATATATATATATATATATATATATATATATATATATATATATATATAAACATCTATAGTATTTATTTTAATCTACAACTAGTAGCTTTCTTCATATGCGTGGTTAGAGTTAAAGATACATATATCTTTTGAAATACTAAAATAAAAAGCAAAATAAAATGTTCTATGAATCTAGATGCTTAGGCGGCCGATTAAGCGCTCTAGGCGGGTAGTTAGGCACCTTAGGCAGCCGACTAATTCGACTAGGCACCAAATCAATTAGTCGGAGCGCCTAGACTAAAATCGGGGCACCTGACTACCGCCTAGCGCCTAGGTGGGGACTAGTCGGGCGCTTAGAGCGATTTTAGAACCATGTTTCTACTACATTCAAACCGAAAATTATTTTGGGAGGGAGTAACTCTTTTTTTTTTAAATCATGGGAGGGAGTAACTATTTGAAAAAGTAAAGAAATTGGATTGCCGCAATGCCACGGCAGTGAGGTAAGGGCTGACGACCACCTCTTCAAATTAAAGATATATGCCTAGCTAATAAAGTAATCTACGAGATTTTTATCCTTTTACACTGTTACACACATTTACACAGATTATAATATGATCTCCATCTCTATAAATACCCCAACGCGCAAACGAATAGTTTAAACGCACCAAAGAGATAACAATTACCAAAAGAAACGAATAGAGCTAAGAGATGGCATTGAAATTGTATGTGGATCGCTTATCCCAGCCTTCTCGTTCCATTCTCATTTTCTGCAAGTAAGATTATTTTGTCTTCCCCAAAGAAAAAATATAATGCTCATATTTTTATCTTCATCATTTTTCCATTCTCTCATCAGTGTGCTTCAATCTATTTTCAAGTATTGCAAAAAAAGATATTGATACGATCAGCTACATAAATGTTGGAATATTGAAAATTTTATTTTCAACTCATTAGCATTAAGATAATTAATAAAGCAAAAAAAGTATATATCTTGATTCTCTTTAATTTATGAAATGAGAGTAATATGGTTTTGTGGTTTGCTTTGGTGAAGGATGAACGGGATAGAGCATGAGGAGGTCCCAATAGAGCTTGCTAAATTCCAGCATCGTTCTCCTGAATACCAAAGTCTGTTTTTCTTGGCTTATTTTACTGTTTACTAAAAACTGGAAATGTCTGATACCATTATAAATCCTTATGGAAAGGAATAATTAAGTTTGTGAAGCTGCTCAAGTAATTAAAATATTCATTATTTCAAAAGCACTTTTTTAATTAATAATCAAGTATCATAAATAAAATATACTACGTACTTCCTATATAAGAATTAAAGCATAAGTTGATCATTGACATGAAATATATAATAAATACAATCAAGTATGATAAATTGAATTGACATGAAATTGTTATTTATTACTACCACCATCCTTTAAAGTTTCTCATAACCACACGATTACTTAGGCAATAATTAAACATGATAACTATTAGAGTATATTTTGTGAAATAATTTTGATGAAGGTAAAATATAATTTGTTATTAATGTATAACGGCGATGTTATATATGTGTTATTTTTAATATTTGATGATTAAATTTAAATTTAAGAGCATTGATTATTTCTTAAAATAGAAAATGAAAACTTTTAAGTGAGACATCTAAAAAAGGAAAGTGAAAACTTTTGAATGAGGCAGGAGGGGTACTTTTCATCTAAAAAGAAACTTCTTCTCTAGTGATCCTAATTTCACCTATTCATCCGGTGTAGTGAAATGTGAAGGATAAGGCTTAACTATTAGTCAAGGATAATTCTTTAACTTGTTTTTTGAGTTTGTTGTTATTGCAGAAATTAATCCTATGATGCAAGTGCCAGCTATAGTGGAGGGAAACTTCCAACTGTTTGAGAGGTAGTAGTTTTGTAATTTAGTGCGAAGTAAAATAAATGATTATGTATTATATTGAGTAATCAGTTGCATATCCAAAAAAAAATGTCAAATGGAATTTGCATTAGCTATTTCACGCATATCATAAACAATGGCGACCATATTAAGGAAAACAGTGTAAAATTGATCAACTATAAATAACATAATATTGTGGGACAAAAATGTTACAATATCATACTTAAATATTTCATGATAGATAAATTCTACTTCTCTAAAAACATTATCGTATAGTTTGTAATTCATTCAAAGTTACATTAACCATAAGAGTCCAATAAAGAATGAATTAAATATGTCTTTAGAACAACTGAAGTTGTGACTTGTGAATGCACAAGCAGTACATTCAAAAAAAATCTAGCTTGAGTGTAAAATTGTAACAGCTAAACGTCAAAAATTATATGCGGAAAATAAACGGCATTATATTGAAGTAGTTCAAACAAGACAAAACGTGAATACAACTATGTAAAGTCATTTTAAATCAATTTAGAACTTAAAAATGGCAAAAGTAAAACAAAAATAGAAATTAAAAACTTAGACAGGAGTCGATCGGTGAACCATTTTTGCCCATGCCATCTTACACGCATAAGACTACTCCACTGAACTATAGGAACTTGTTATTACTTCTCCCTATTGAGATCTAAGATATTTATAATTTATAGTTTTATATTTGGTATATACAGGGTTAGATGGGGGTTGAGTGAGGGCAGCCTCCGCCTCTGCCCCCATACATAGTAGATCCGCCTCGGTGTGTAGTGGCGGATCTTGTCAACAAATGTTGGGTATTCAAAATTACTTTACCATTAAGATGTTGTAAAGTAATATTGTTTGATCCCCTATTGAAAATATATATAATTTTTTGAACAACAAAAAACTAACAAGAATGGTTAAACGTAAAAATATTACATAAAAAATACAATTAATAAATTATTATATCAATTATATACATTTTTGTATTTAATTTTCTAAAATTTGGGTGTTCACGTAAACACCCTTCAACAAATACCTTCTGCCACTGGTCGTGTGAGTTTTGAAAAGTAAAATAAAATAATCTGGAATAGTAGATCATCAACCGTTTAGCGGCTGATGAAAGAAGATGAGGTGCAAACGTGAGATTATTACCAAATTAGAGTTAGGTTGAACTATTGTAAGAAGACTACTAAAAGTTGGGATTTTTAGTTTCCATTTTCCCTGAATGAAATGGCTGAATTGGATGAAATATACTGAGTTGTGAAATAGTTGTATTTATATTACACTCTACACGTGAAATAAAGGAAAAACTATATGAAAAAGATTAAATAACCCTCTTGTGTCATTATGGCGATCAATTCAACCACAAAAGTACACCTGACCTTATGTTGAGGTTATTAACCAATTTAGCATGAGAGGTTGAAAACTTAGTGCTGATAACAACTACAAATATGTTCTGATAAAACAAAAGGAAATGGTTGCCAGTTATGTATTCCTTTTTTTAATGAAATGTGTGTGTAATTTCTCTGTTTGGTTTGTTTTTTCATTGCACCATAACCCTTTTAACCCAAATTATAACATCCACTTTCTTCTTCAGCCACGCAATTCTGAAATATCTAGCTTCTGCCAATCATGTTGCAGATCATTGGTGAGTTTTGTTGTCTACTTTTTTTAGTTAATACTTGTATCTTATTTATACTGTTTTAATATGTTACGATTTATTTACCACATTGAAATGACATTATCTTTGACATGGAATCCTTTTAATGATAATTTTAACTCAAAATAGTATAGGTTACTTAGGAGCCCAGCCTAATTTTCCAATGCCTTTTAAATTCTCTTTGAAGGTATCCTGCTGATCTGCACAAAAGAGCGAAGATTGACTCGGTGTTAGACTGGCACCACACCAACACACGCTCTGGCATAGGTTGTTTATAATTATATCTATATAGCTATATGTACATGTAAACTATTTTTTTTATTGTGTCCTTGACTATGCTTATTCTCCTTTCCTTTTAGAGCCCCTTTGGTATACCCAAATCGGCTGCATTGACTGATTCTATTGAAATTTATGAAGTTATGGTCAAAGTTTTATTTTTGTAGTTTTATTTCACTTTTTGAAAAGAAGAAGATTGATTTGTGACTGTTTCCTCTTTATATCCAGTTGGTTATGTTTTCAATTCTACGCTTGCACCTGTATTTGGTTTGCCTTTGAATCCGAAAGCAATAGCTGAGGGAAAGAAAGTCCTATTGGCATCCCTTGATAAGATTGAATCATTTTGGCTCCGGGAAAATGGAAGTTTTCTACTGGGAAATACGCAACCTTCCATTGCAGATCTTCGCATAGTTTGTGAATTAATGCAACTTGAGGTCAGGAATGTTCCCTCTTTGTTACTTGTCATTTAGACACCACACTTAATTTAGCCTTCTCTTGTATCAACAAAATGCATCACAAGATGAGAAGGTTAACGTGTAGAAATTGTGAAAGCTTCGATGTTTTTGTCCCCAAAGTTATAGTAACCATTTCAGCTATAAAAATGTATAATTCTTACTAACAAAAAGATGTTCCATAAGGGTTATATATTACATCTATATTAAAACACAAATATACCTAGAAATATAAGTCGGGCTGATAGTTTACAAGAATTTTAACTTACCACAATTTTGCAAATTTCTTCTTGCTAACTTAAATTCTTTTTCTTTTAGCAGTAGCATTTTCTTTTAGCAGCATTTCTCAACTCTTTACTTTATGGCCTTTTAGTCCATGTAATTGTAATTTACGAAAACTGCTGCATTCCAGTTTTACTGGTATGAAATCACTAATTTGAAATAAATTAATCTTTGAGAGAATTTCATCCCAATCCTAGAAGTTAATTTAAAAACAGCCCGGCTTCTTGTACACGCCAAAGCCATGCACGCTATTTACCGGGCCCTTTTTGTTTGTGCATAGACATTTTTTTTCATTTTTTAAGGTGAATAAAAACATGATCTATGGCACAGAAAATTCACCTTAGAAAAGAAAAGAAAAATTGCATAGACAAAAGTGGGGTGTAAATGCGTGCACAAAACCAATTATTCTTTAAAAAATACTACGTATATGCTTTATGTATCTTTCAGACAAAAATTGGAAGCTGATCTTACCTCAAACTAATTGCATATCTTTATTCATAGGTAGTGTTTATTTTTTTCCCTCTTGTTGAGATGTTAATCTAACTCTTTATACACATATATGTTTTGGAAATTCAGACTTTGGACGACAAAGATAGAGAAAGTATAATTAGCCCTTATAATAAGAAAGTTCTGGCATGGATTGATGCGACGAAGAAAGCAACTCAACCTCATTTTGATGAAGTTCACACCGCTCTCTTTAAAGTAAAAGAGAAACTTAAACAGCAGAGAGCTTCACCAAATCTTCATCGGGGTTTTACTTTTGTTGTGGGTTTGGTTTTAACTCCCTGTATTTTGGGATATGTTCTGTTTTGGTTGTTATCTGGAGGCAAAAAGTAGGTGTATCTGGTAACATAATCAATAATTTGGTCAGGTTCCTGCGTTGTGGTTAGAATTATTGTGCCCTTTTATGGGAGAATGATTCTATAATCGTAGGGCTTGTGACCGATTGAGTAATTGTGGGTGATTGGTGTGGTGATTGTCTGTGAGCTTTCAGTATTTTAATATATAAGTCTTTTACATTCCAAAAAACACATATGTGAGTCATCATTGCATAACATGGTCCAACAAGTGCAAATTAATTTGGAAACGACTCAAACGAGTTCACACAGTTTAATATGATGACCTGTACATCTTTTGAGAGTTTGAATACTTGATCTAGGGATTATTTTATAAAGTGGCCTAATTAGAGGTTTGTTGGTTTATCCGTCTCATAAAACTTGATCAAATTTTAGTTGATTTGCAAGTAAAAAAAAAAAAATAGTTTGAGGTGAATATTTATTTATAAAAATGAAAGGGAAATAACACTAATTATATACTCCATCCATCCGAGAAACAACTTTCACTTTGGCTTACACACATTTTTATGCAATTTAAAGTGTCAACTTAACTATCCAATAATGATCCTATTTTTATGTCTAATCAAATAAAAAGTAAGTAATAGGTAAAGATAGGTTGGGTATTCGTTACTTATTATTTTATGTAAAAATTAGAAATTTATTTTGCGACACACATATAAGAAAAGTGACCAATATGAAGTGGACCCAAATACCATCGCAAACCCAATGCAGCACAAGGAAGTCGATAATTACGCTCAGCACATGGTCCAGCTCGATCGGATGTCTGTTTCGACTGGGGGCCCATGTCTCGCTCGAGATACAGACTCCCGAATGGGACGAACACTTGCGTCTTTCTCGCTATAGATTTTCTCAACCAAGTGATTGGCGGGAAGATATGAATTGCCGAGAAGAGCATTTAATGCATCGTATATAGGGGATGTTATAATTGGTGGTTAGCTTATAATCAGAGCACGCCGCGACACCCCCACTACCTATTACATTGTAGTATGTATATATGGTATTAATAGTATACTACTTTAGATAAACTTTGTCAAGATATTACACCAAAACCATAAATATATTATCGTTGCCATTATTTATATTTAAATAGTTAATTTTGCATATATATGTGAGTGATAAATGTTATTTACATAACCTCCTAAGTATAATGACTGACGTGCACTTTGTCGTGAGGTGCACTCAAAGTAATAATACAATACGACACTATTACGTAGTATAGTGTAGTAAGGTTCGTATCCACAGGGAAAGGAATACTTCTCTTCTTATAGAAATAGATAAGTAACAATAAGGGGGGTTTATATTTGGTTGATGAACTTTAAATTATATTTAAATACGAAGATGAACGAGTTATGTGGTTTAATTAATGAGAAGAAGACTTGGCTTTGCTTTTATCCACTTAATGAAATGTTCGTCGATCCTGGTTATATCTTTAACTATCTTCCTCTCGAATACTCAATCGAGGAGTATATCCAATTCATCGAGGGTAGTTATTAATAACGAGACGCGTTCATTAATAAAACTTACTACCGAGTTAATATAGAACACGCGCCGTATATTCACTCGATAGTAGCAATAAAATCAAGATGAAAACGATTGAGATTGATAACCTCAACACAAGCGGTTTATTGGTTTAATCAATATAATTAATTCCCCTTGGTTTATTAACCATGAAACGCATGCATTAATAACCCAAGTTTACTACCGCGAAAGGACCGAATTAATAACAAGCGTATTAATCGACCGATTCTAGTAATAATTAATATATGGAACAAAACTAGTTGATCCTTTAAGTAATGTTCAAAATATTAATATGAAATATGAATAAGAATTAATTAATACTCAAGGAAGAATATTAAAGAAGATGAATCCTACTATAGTTAATATCAAGATGTTAACTAATTGTCATCTTAGTAACACTCCCCAATATTAACGTAGAGGAAGAAATAACTATTAATATAACCAATGTCAAGATGTTAACTAATTGTCATCTTAGTAACACTCCCCAACATTGATATAGAAATAGTATTTAAAGAAAGAATTAATATTCAAGGAAGAAGATTAAAGATAATAACTCACAACTTACAAATTCATTAAGCTTCAAAGTAGCAAAACCAAGATGGAAGAGTTTAGCTCCTCATTTGGAGACTAAACATGATGAAAAATATAAAGAAAGAACTTGTCTAAACTGAGCTAAGAAGTATATGTGAATTGGTGATTTTATTGTGAAGGAAAGGGGTGTATTTATAGGCTTTTGGGAGCTGCAGGGTCTGATACCCGACCGGGTATATAGGATACCCGACCGGGTATCTCAGGAAATTGCCCAGAAAGTGATTTTTCTGGGCATACCCGATCGGGTAAGGGTATATACCCGATCGGGTATGTGACAAATCTTTATGAAAATTTGCTCCCACGATCATTTGTCTTCGGATTTGATTTGGACAGTCGAATCAAGCACTTACCCGATAGGGTATAGGCAATACCCGACCGGGTACATGAGTATTTTTTCCAAATCGAAATCTTTCTTGTCTCCTTGCACTTTCCTTGATCTTTTAAGGTCCAATCTTGATCCCTTAGATGATCTTTGACCTGTTTAGCTCAGAAAAATCCTAATCTAACTAAATTACAAATAAAAATGAAAATAAAGTATTACACCAAAAGTGTGTAATTCCCACAACTAGAACTAATAAAAACTAGTTAAAAATACAAACATACAATCGGAATTTACATGAATATCAACTCCCCCACACTTAGCTTCTTTACTCGTCCTCGAGTAAAGTCAAATGTTTAACAGTTCCAAGTCCTCAAGAGTTCAACAGTCAACAAAAAAGCAAAAGACCACCAAGGATAAAACATCTTCTTGGGTTTCACGGTCTTCTCTGCTCGTCTCTTTTCTTCTCTCCTTTTCATGTTCAAGAGATTAAATGATGTCCTGTAAAAACAAATATATCTCTCATATCTCTCATTTTGCCTAGGAGCCTTTTCAGGTTTTCATCCTAGCAACTCTTTTTATTTTTCCATCCTTTCCACTCACTCAATTTTTTATAAGCCATTTTTGCTTAGATTGCCCGTTCTGGGTTTTCAACCTAACTAGCATTTCTTTTTTTTTTTCTCTTTTTTCTTTCTTTTGTTTTTTTTTATTCATGAGAAGAAAATAATGTCAGTTACAAGGTATCAAACTTAAGTACGTATCAATGAGTGACTCCCCCTCACTTAGTTCGAAGCACTGTCCCTAGTGCTCGTCTCTGTAATAACATTGTTGGAATGTACATCCTCGTAGCCCTGAATCGGTCCCCTAGCCTGTGAACTTGCGGCTCTGTCCTGCTTTGGTGCCATTGATTGCCTTTTTGGAGCTTGAATTTCGGGGGGCTGGGGTTTTGGGTTTTATGGAGAGGAGAAAATACGGGGATTTTTTTTTTTTTTGGTTTGTAAAGGGAAGTGTCTTGGTGGTGGTATGAGGAAGTTTGGGTGAGTATTGATGGAGATAGTGAAGAAAGAAGGTTTAAAGATGGAGGATTTTGGAGAGGGGGTTCGAAAATGTGGGTTTTGGGCTAAAAACTCGGGTACCCGGTCGGGTGACCTAACATACCCGATCGGGTATACGCGGGTTGGCTTGTTCCGGGGTCGGGCCCGATCGAGTTGGGGTAGTACTCGATCGGGAAAATCACGCCGTAGGAATTCCCATAACTCAATTAAATATACCCGACCGGGTGAAGGGTGTAACCCGATCGGGTACCTTCCCCAGGAGCGCTTTTTTTTTTTTTTTTTTTTTTTACACTGACACTCAACTGAATGCAAATAATCAAAATCCAAACTTGGGTTGCCTCCCAAGAAGCGCCTTAGTTAATGTCGCGGCACGACGTTATTTTTATTTTATTTTCTGAATTAAGTGGGATCATAAACATCCCTTTTATCCTTCTTTAAGGCCCTGTTCGGCCTTGTGTCAATTTTATTTTTCGGCCTTTTCCAGTAAGGCCGAGCTTTCTTTCTTGCTACCACCTCAACCGTCGGTGGTTTTTCTAGTGATTCCTCCATGATCAAAATTGATTCTTTAAAGGAAGAGTGATTTTTAATAGAATTATAAATGTTATATTCTATTTTCCTTCCATCAAATTCCATAGTTAAAAGTCCGCTAGAAACATCAATTGTTGAATTAGCGGTTTTTAAAAATGGCCTCCCTAGTAAAATAGGGACTTCATGTTCATCACTCTCCATTTCAAGTACGTAAAAATCGGCAGGAAACACTAGATCACCTACTGAAACTAGTACATCTTCCACTACCCCTTTTGGGAAAATAGTTGATCTATCGGCCAGTTGAATAGTGACACCGGTTTTGTTTAAAGGGCCAAGGTTCAAAGATTTATAAAGATTATAGGGGACCACGTTAATTGATGCCCCTAAGTCTAACATGGCCCTAGAAATGGTGTCTCCTAGCTTGCACGGTATAGTGAACATGCCCGGGTCAGTACATTTTTTTGGGAGTTTTCTTTGAAAAACTGCCGAAACATGTTCACTGATTTCAATTTCTGTTTTCCCTTTGAGTGTTGCGTCCTCTTGATTGTGCATAATTCTTTTAAAAATTTAGCGAATCGAGGGACACCTTTAATCAAGTTAAGGAGTGGAATATTTACCTCACAATTGGCGAAAGTCTCATAGATATCTGCATCTCTCCTTGGCTTCTTTGTTTCCCTCAATGCCTCGGGGAAAGGAGCTACTGCTTCATATGATGACAATGGAGGGGGGTTGGATTTTGTTGACTCCTCCTCGAATTTAGCTTCCTCCTCACGGTCAACCTCTTCAATCCCTTGATCTTTCTTCTCTACCTCTTTCAATGTCGTCCCACTTCTCAACATGATGGCATTCACATGTTGCCTCGGATTTTGATCCGTTTGAGATGGGAGTTTACCCGAGTCCTTTGCTTCAAGTCGGCTCACAGCATTTGAAATTTGGCTAACTTGAGTTTCCAAATTTTTTATGCTTGACTTTGTCTCATGTTGGAATTGTATCATGGTTTGTTGAAATTCTCCCATGTTTTGTTGCATGGTAACCATGTTTGAGGTCAAAGTTTGGATCATCTCATCAGTTGACATATTAGATTGAGAATTTGAGCCTTGGGTGTTGAAAGGTGGTTGAGAAGATGAGTTGGCTTGTTGAGGGTTCCCATATCTCAAATTTGGATGATCCCTCAATCCCGGATTATAAGAATTTGAGAAAGGATCATACCTTCTTTGTTGATGTC